AGCATCTTTGATATATTTTTTCTAACTTTACATGCGATCAAAATGGAACAGTCCATTATTTATGAAGGTATAATGTACATTCTAACAAAGGAACTAAGTGAGGGACAAGTAGAATCATATTAGAATTTTCTTTTTGTCATCTTAATTTCAGTTACTTTCTATTGTAACTACTCAGACCATAATTCTACAACTGCTAATAAACAGTATGGATTGGAAATAAGGAATAAGACGATGATAATATTCCAACTCTTATCCCTTTTTCCTTCTGTCATCTTAATTTCAGTTACTTTCTATTGCAACTACTCAGACCTAATTTTAATGCTGGTAATAAACAGTATGAATTGGAAATAAGGAATAAGATCTTGATAATATTCCAAGACATATCCCTTTTTGCCTCCAGTGGCAGGAGAGAGAAAACTTTCCTAGCATGACAGCTGCGTTACTGATTGAACTATAAAAATTCTATATATTTTGGAAACAAATGACATATATGAAAAAATATTTGAAAGAAAGGACAAAGGAATTTATAAAGTGAGAAATTAATAAAATAATAAATAAATTAAATTTCTGGCTTTTTTTTCTTTAAAAAATTAATCTGTTGAATTTTAAACAAGGTCAAAAACAAAATCCTGATGTACATATTTGTTGAAGAAAACTATTTTAGCTGAAGGATATACCAAAGATGTAGTGAAGAGTTCATGAGTAGACCTACTTCCTAAAATCTGATCAAACATCAGAGATTCTTTTTACTTGATTCCCATTTGGGTCGGTCTGAGAATAAATTTCAGTACCCCAGTGTCAAATGTCATGTTGAGATAAAAGGGTGCAGGAGAGATTTTGAAATAAATCTGGATATGGAAGGAGGAGTATAAACCTTTAAGAACCGCTGGTTTAAAATAGGGACATTAAGGGTTGTTAGTGTGTGAGAATAAAAAATTAATTAACAGTAACACTAATACAGCAGTTTATTAATTAATTACAAACGGACAGACAATTATCTATCTTTTTAACCGAACGATGTCTAATCTATAAGAAAAGGGGAAAGAAGTTGTTTGTTAAAAAAGAAAAAAAAAAGGGCTCAAAGTTTCTATTGGGGAAAATCATTGCTGAAACCGAATAAAGTGCTTTTTATTTTCTATTTTTTGACGAGGCATTTCATTTTTTTTTTTTGCATATTTTTCTCTTAAAAAAGCAATTATTTCCCCGCCTCTTTAAGCTGAAAACATGATTTGCAAGCTGTGTTTTACTTTTAGCGGAATTTCACGCGTGATTGATAATTTGAGGAAGAAAAGTAAAAACATAGGTTACTTTTTTTTTTTTTTAAAACTAAAACTTAATTTAAATAAAAATAAGATTGATTATTTTTTTTTCTTCTCTGAGCTTTTTAGGGCAAAAATGATATTTATTTTGCATTTTTTTCTTAGTCTTGTCGACAAAAGAAAGGAAAAAAAAATAATGATACATTCACACTCACAGTCACACCATTCATATGACATGGTATTTTTCAAAATAATTTTTCTTCATGCAAAATTTTTTAACTTTGTCATGAAGACAATTTCGGATTTACATTATTTTTTTTAAACCCACCATAGATATATAAAAAAATTTCCTATGAAAACAGAAATAAAGCCTTACTTTTTTTATCAAATTGTGCTTACTGGGGAGGCAGACAAGGTTTCGGGACTAATTTTTTTTTTTAAAAAAAAAAAAGAAAAAACCAAGAACAGTCATTACCACTACTAACCTACGGCGCTTCAACAATACCTCATGATATTATTAACAGATTAATTCTGCTTTATTAAATTTTCGTCAATGTGGAAATACCCGACTTTTTCTTTTAATTTACAGTCAAATCAAAAGTTTTACACACACAGAGGATTCATTTACATGTTTTTTGCTAACTTCAAGTAGTAAAGTTTGTTTTTTTGTGTGTATATATCACAAAAAAAATAAAAACACGACAAATCAATAAAAACGTAAAAAAATTTAATTAAGAAAAAATTTAAATAAAATACAAAAAATTCATTAAAAAAAATCCTCAAAAGTCAAAACTACGAACTTTTTTCTGTTTTTTACTGTTTATCTTTCGTTTGTCGAAATAAATGAGTGACAGTCTGACACACTTACTTTCTTTCAATTTCAACAATATTTTGTTTTAAAATGTTTGAAAACAGATTTACCAATACTTTTTTTGCTAATTTTTAAATAATTTTTTTTAGTTAATTTTCTTGATATATTTTTCACATTAATTTTTTTCTTTTTTATTTGCGATAATAAACTAACAACATTTCACTTTCATTTCATCAGTATCCATTCTCTTGAACTTTATAAAATAAACTCCCAACATAAAATAAGAGGGGGAGAAAGAAAGAAGAAAAAGAAAAAAAAGAGAGAGACAGATAGAAGGAAAGAAAGAAAGAAAAAGGGGAACATTTGATAACGCAGACATTTTTCTCAGAAGCAGCATCATTTCGGTTGCCTTGACAACTAAAGTATAAAGAATAAAAACGTGTTTTACGATAGAAGAATGCAAACATAATTTTTTTTTTTTAAACTGCCGAATTTGCAACTGCCAAATTCGTTATAAAACCAAAAAAACGCGTATTTTTATATTGTGTACTTACAAATCGTCGATAAATGTCCGGTTTTGTTATTTTATCGTCTTTAAACGTATTGTTTTCGTGGGTCTATGTGACCTTTGCAAGCGAGTTCGAGGACAAATTACACACGGAAGTTGCAAATGGTCATAAACAATATCTACGGAGGCTTTTACTTGCAATAATATCAGTCTGCACTACCGAGCCAAATAACTTTCCATCAACGTTTCGAATAATAAATTTCGAAATTTCTTTCCTTTTTACTATCATAGTTGGAAAACAATAACTGAATCATTACCAACAACAAATAGTAAAATTAACTTCAATTTAGGTTTTCTTTTAATTTTGTTGTTTTCATTGCAATATTCAGGTCGTTTTTACATTCTACGACCGTTGTAAGCTCTATGATTTACAAATAAATAAGTACCATTCAACTCAACAGGATTTAATTAATCTTGTCTTCCATTTCTTTTAATCAATGCAAATATTACATTTGAATTCAGTATCTGTATATATTCGAACAGGTGCTGTAAAATTCTCAAACTGAGTCACTTTCCCAAAATCTTATCAAACGACCAAACAGTTTTTGTTTTTTTTTTTAAACTTGAACCGTGAAGTTTCCAGAACCCCAGCATAAGAAAAGAGTGAAAATCTTTCTCTCCCCCAACAATAAAGCTAAAATAGAGTATTATCCTAATTAATTCGTTAGTGAACTTGAGAAGAATGCTTTGAAAAGATATTGTGTGGGCGGGCAGATGGATAATAATTCTAAGAAGCTAGAGAGATGGTCAATTTGAAAACACGCTGAAAGAAAATTGGTTTACTTTTTTAAAGTGGTATATTTATAAAGAACTAACCACGAATAAAGTTTTCAATGATTGATTTAAAGTTTAAATTTAAAAAGCATTCAACTTTTATGTTCTGTTGGCCATTATTTTTTTATTATGCGTACAGTCAGCAATAGATATATAAAAAAAGAGTATGATGAATGAAATGATTCAATCTGCAATATAAAAATAAACACATTTCCGAAAAACAAATAGCTGTTAGTAATGTTTAAAAACTGCTATGGCTCATTTGATAAAAAGTAAATAAATATGTTAATTTTAAAAAAAATGTTGCAGAGGAAGCAGTGAAAAAGACAATATTTAAAAAAAAAAAATCCTACAATTAAGGAAAAGAAAAGAAAAGAAATTTAAACAAAAAAACAAAGCCCGAAAAGTCCCACCCCCACCAAAAAAAAGAAAAAAATTAATTCACTCAGACACACATACATACATACACACAAACAAAGGCACACGCACATGCACACAAACTTAAACACGAAACAAAGTAAAAAACAAAACAAAACAAAAACGAAAAAGTAAAGAACAACAAACAACGGATTCCTTAATTTGGTGGATAAGTGATACTGTTTAACAATAATGATTGCAATGATTAGATTGCAATTTTGCGTCAGGTGTCTAAATTCAATCCTTTAAGCAATGTTCAATGTGTCCAGCAGTCTGTAGTAAAAGAAAATTAAAGTATCCGAATAAAAACAGTCTGATAAATAAATTGTTACCACTACCTAGAGTCTACTACTACTACTATACGTGGGTCGTAATAAGATGTCGCAGATTTTTATGATGTTTTTCTTGTTTTATTTCGTGACAATGGATAAAAAAAACTCAAACCCTTAAAAAGCCGAGGCTGCTTTAAGCTGAAGCCATTTAAGCGCAACACCCACGCCATGAAAGCAACTGTTGATTTTAAAACTTAAAGAAATATAAATCAACGACTGATTTGAGACTTATTGGGTCAAATATTCAATTTTAAACAATTTTTTTTATTTCTTTAAAACTCTTAAAAAATACGAAATAGTCATTTCATGAAATTTCCTAATTATTTTCTCTAAAAAAAAAAAAAGGAAAAAGAAAAAAAATCTGTTGCGCATTAATCATATTTTTGAATTTTGATGATTAAATAAAGTTTTTTTTACTGAAAAATTATTCAAGAAATCTGTTAAAATAACTTTGGCCCATTTCCGAAAAAAAATATTGTCATTATTAACGGCATTCCATTTAACCATCTTGTCTTTCTTTTTTTTAAAGACTAAGTCGGAACTACTTTTATTTTCTTATGCAACAAAATTTCGAATCTGAATTAATAGTAAATTTTGTTGCATAAGAAAATAAAAGCATTGCAAGAATATGAAACAAAGTTAAAATACATTTTTTTGTTATTTTAATTCAAAATGTCAAATAGCAAAGTATGCACACTTAGTGTTCCGTACTTTTCATGACATTAGCTTTTAGCATTCAACTGTAGTCACATGACAGGAAGTGACGTATTTATTGGCTATCTGCCCTCTTTGGTCAAGGTCGGTTGTCTGCTGTTTCGGATTGCAGGAGTCTCTTCAACATGGCACAAAGTGGTATGTGAAAACCCGTTTCTCTGATTTTATTTTCTTTATTGGACTTATACGGAGACTTTCATATTAAGATTTTTTTTTATTATTATTATTTTATTTTCCTTACTCGAGTAACTTTATTTTTCTGTTCTTTGTTGCCAGACTTTAAGATAGCGAAACATTTGTCTTCCTCACCTTTTTCGGTAGTCTTCTTAAACTTCAACCAAAAAAAAAAAAAAAAAAAACTAAAAAAAAAAACGTAGAACTGAAACAATTTTTGCGCTTTTGTTATTTTGAAAGAACAAACATATTCGGCTTACTTAGATAAATAATTTTTTACTTTTGCTTCTATAAAATCAAAATTAATAATAACTTAAGTTGTATATAGGTATTTTTTTCCTTTTGCCTTGGAGACTTGTAACTTACAGTAACTACTTTTAGTTTTAACTTTTTTTTTTTTTATCCACAAAATCGAAGCATTTCCGATTACAAGAAGTACTTAAACAAATTATATATAATAATTTACCTATATTTCCTTATTACAATATAATTAAATAAACTGAAACCGACCACCTTTTTATTCACTAAAAAGGTAAAGCACGTTTATTTTCTTTATATATATATTTTTTTTAAACGTGACTAATTCTCCATTCGATTGTTCTTTCTCTTTAACTTTCTTGTGTGTGTAAATTACTATAACGAACAAAATTACTCCATAGTAATCGTAGATTACGTGTAAAACTACAAAACTAAAAGTATTGTGAACTAAAAGGAAAAGGATACACTTTTTTTCTTTTTTTTTTTTTAGCACGGCGTAAATGTCGCAAGTGCCAAACTTAAAAAAAAAAAAAATCACTTTTCTTTTTTTTTTTTCTGTTCTGTCAAAAGAAAAATAAGTTAAAAACTTTGTAAAAGAGACTTATTTTTGTTATTTGTGTGTGAAAAAAACAATGTTTGTTCTTGTCCCGCCCCCGAAAATAAGACCCATGTTTATCTAAGAAATTCGGACAATTTACAACTTACATTTTTTAGTTTTATTATTGTATCACCTGGCAAATTACTTCTCAAACCTTCTGTAACTATTGAAAGATATTTTGCACTAACCAACCGCTTTACACACTATACCCCCCCCCAAAAAAATGTATTGTATAGCCTTAAAAAATGCTTTATTGAATTGAACGGAGCTACTACGTAGCGCAAAAAGAAAGAAATGCCTTTTCTTCCCAACCGAAATCAGCCTTGACTCTGCAATTTTTTCTCTTCCCAACCCCAACCTATGAGGACAAGTGTGTGGGGGAGCCCCAAGGTCTTATTGTGTTGTAGCATCCACATACAATCATCGCATTTTTGAGTAATTCAAAAATTGCGCCGTCCTCTACACTATTATTGACGCAGGCACTAAGACGTGCCACCCTTCATCTTTTTGCAGTGGGAAGGTACTGCATAGATGACGGATCACCAGGCTTCTAGTATTATTAACTTCGTAATTTAACTGAATCCTGGTGCTCTGTCCAAACTTTGGGAGACAAGACAAACTACTCGATTGTATCACGTAGGCCTCTTCACTTTTTACCTGCATTCCTCAAATCCTGTAACAATACAAGATTAAGAACCTTTGTAAATGTAAATAAGTTGGTAGTTTTGAAAAGTAATAATAGAAAGCTAGCGCATTTTTCTTGTTTAATAATCATATCTTGAAATATTTTTACTAGTGATTTATTATTAATTTTACTTTAATTTTCAATTCAAAATGTTCTTCATTTTGAAGGTTAGTTTTTTAAAAAACAAAACGAACGCCAACCGAGGTGAAGCGTAATCTTCGATTTGACTTTCCTTCACTTTCCTAAATGCGAAAAAAAAAAACACCAAAAACAAACGAAAAACGCTTTCTCACATACATACATACATACATACATACATACATACACGCTTTTACATACAGTCGTTATTTCGAATAATTTTGCTCTACCTTGAGATGCTAACATCGTGTTGTCTCCCGCCCCCGTGGTGATCCAGTTTCTTTTCGACACTTTCTCCCAAAATGGTAAAAATTTTGCCTGTTGCTTAGCTGAGATACATTTGATTATTGACACCCCCCAGTAATTACATACAATCTTTACTACAATAATTACTTTTTTTTTTTTTTTTTGCTATTCCAACTTGTCTTGAGCGAAAAAAAAAAAATTGAATTTGACTGGCTAAAATTACGTATTAATTTTTAATAACTCTGTGGAAGGCCGGTTACGTACGTGATTTTATTTCTGAGTAAAAGCAAAATAATACCATTGAATGGTCCTGACTAGATTGAATGCAGTGACGTGCATTTTTTTTTTTTTTTTGTTGTCTGTACTCGATCGTATTAATTAACTTTTATCAACACTGCAAACTTGATCCCAAGTGTCCACATTCTATTTCCGTCCATTCAATACTTAACTTTTAGTAAGTCTAATTTTTTTTTGAGTAAAAAAAAAAAGTTGAAACGGTTCAGGTTCTAATCCCGGAAAAAGTAAATTAATTACAATTCTATATTTTATTTTTTTTTTTTTTTTTTTCCAGTAAAATAAATTTGTTTGCCAATAGGAAAAACTTTAAACAGCTTACTTTAATTTACTTTCCTGCTCCGTGATGAAAACATCTGTAACACTACTAACAGCCACAGAAAATGTGACATTTCGAGTCGGAAACATGAACCTCCTGAGGTTTGGCTAGTAATGTCGCTATTTTTGACAATGCTGAACATTTTTTTTCTTCATTGCTTTTCTCGCTAGTTTAATTGTTTACTACTGTATGGTATGTTACTTAGACATCCATTGCACTTTTTTCTTACACTTGCAAAAAAAGAAGCGCTACTTTATAAAGCATGATGGAATATCCTTCCACTTAACAAAAACCCCACCTTTCCTCACTAAATCCTCGATGTTAGTCAGGCGCTCATAAAACACTTTAAATTATGCTTTTTCACACCTCCCTTAGTTTATCCGCTGATAACATCTGAAATGACTTGAATGCGTCGCATGATCAGCAGCGAAAGCGACAGGATACCCCCATCTCGAGGGCGTTCTGAAGATTTTTCGACTCGTCCCCTTCAAAAATGCATTCGGTCGTCCAGAGAACTTAAAGTACCGTAATGAGCAAAAATATTTTCATTGTCTTCAATGTTATGACGTGGTGGTAAAGTTGAGGATTTTTAGTGGTGAAATGATAACCATTTTGTAGCAAAGGAAATTTAATTGTATGGCTTCAAAAAAAAAAAAATAAAGTGTAGTGCCCTTTATCCATCCCATCTAGAGGATGGTACACTTGTCCATTTCCAAACTCCATTTAAGTTTGGAAATTGACCAGGTTGTTCTGTTAAATGCGGGACAGATTGACTAGATTGAAATGCAACAGCTGAAGTAAATAGATTATTTAAAAAGGAAAAAAACAACTTCAGTTGAATGCACAAATTGATGAACAGCTTTGATTCAGAGTGAAGACCCGGTGGGCAAGCTGATTCTTCAAATGTAAAATAAGATTCCAGAATAGAAAGACAGTAGGCAGGATATGTTATGTGGAAGGCCATTACTATGGAGCTGGTTTTCTCCAAATACTTCTGATCTGAAGGTGTTTGGAAGATGAATTAAAGGGTAATGCACAGATAAGAGGATACAATGAGGAGTTGGTATGTGCCTAAATCAAAAGGTATGTTATGATGCTAGTAGTGTGATAATAGGTGGTGGATGTAGAATAGCTGAAAAAGATTGCAGTCATATGTAAATGAACTGGAAGATGTCCATTTAGATTTAATATAGCAATTAATACATATCTAGTTTGGCTACTGTGCTCATGGTAAGTGAAATCTGTGATTCTGACCAGTTTGAACAAAAAGATCAGGGGAGATAACTATTAGACAATGTCTGGGATTCGTATAGCTAATTTCTGAACTTAACTGCTGCCGGATCTAATGTTTCTGCCCTTGAAAAACAAGGTATATGCTCCTTTACAAATTAAGGAAAACGTACTTTTCAGTGGTAAAGTATTTGGAGAAGTGACCATAGTATTGTTCATGAACCTGAATTTAGATAGCTTGCATGACTTTGAGATTGATGAACCTATATTTTTAGTCAAGAGAATTGACTCTAACTTAGACTGTTCATTATTTTGTCAGGTGTTGATAGGTGTTAATTTGATCTCATGAGAAGGGAGAAATTCAGGTGGAAGACAGACAACTGAAAAAGTAGCTCTTGATGTGACATCAGAAACTTAATGTTTTAATGATTTATGGATCTGGAAGAAGGTAGTTGAAGACAGCATCTGAAATTACTCAGGGTCCTTAACAAGACTTTTTGAGAGGGATTTGATGGATTATTTGTAATGAACAAAGCACTTCTATTAGATTTTAAAAAGAAAAAAAAAAGTGGGACATCACTCTTTTTTTAAAGTTGCATGTAAACCAATAGGTAATAGAATTGTAGGACACCACAAGATATCCTGACCAAACATCAGATGTAGGCAAGTATGACTAGCCATGTACATTACTGTTGTGTAAGGACCTGCCTCTGTCCAAATTGGAAATAAACCTGTGGATGTTGTCTCTTAATGGGTGATGGGGTGAATGACATTTATTCATTTCCAAAACCATTTCTCTGAAGTAAGTAGCTCATTTTCTGGACTTGTAGAATTGTTAACATATTAGAGGAGGCAACTACTGTAGCTCAAAGCAACACCCATTAAGTGGATGAATGACTGACTGAAATGGCATAAACTGAATTAAGTTGTGATTAGTTAAATATTTCTGAACAGAAATGATTTTCCTTAACTCCTCAGCTTTGAACTTTTTTTTTTTTTTTTTTTTTTTTCTTCTTAGGCTGGAGCTAGTGTATATGAAATGACAAAAATGTGTTGATTATTAGGTTTTCGGTTTGCCGAAATGTCCAGTTCTCTACCTGAATAAACGTGATTTTTGTGTCCTGAAAATCTTGAAATTCCTCTTCATTTATTCTTTGCATGCACTTGATGAGTCTTCAGTAGCAGAACATGAATAGATTTGACATTGTGCTGACTTGATCTGATATTCCGACTGGGTTTGAAACTTGGTGAAACTATTTGCCTAGTGTCACTATGCAACTGAATAATTAGAGGACTGTATTTAAAAAAAAAAAAAAAATAAAAATAAAAGATTCCTGCAATTTCTTCCATATTATTTATTAAAACTAAACACTAATCTTTCTGTTCAGGAATTAAACTAATGCAGAAAATATTGATTACTCTCTTCAGATGTCTGAGGAATCCTGTACTAACCTTTTAGTAATATTAGCATGTCTATCATTATGTACAAGACACCAGTCTAATGTATTAAATTAGCTGAGGTGTTATCTGCATTGTGGAAAGCAACCTAATTAATAGGTTACAACTTGAGGATCAGCTGCTATCAACTGGGTTAAGTTCTTTTGTAGCTCCCTACTGGATGGAAAGTATTTTAATTTTTTTTTTTTTTTTTTTTTTTTTCCAATTAGAAGTCAAACTTGATATTTTTCTTCTCTCCTTTTCAGGTTTAATATGCAATAAACATAGATTAATTATCCCCCCCTCCCCTGGCTAAACTGTAAATCTCTTGAAACTTGTATAATATTTCACTGTAGTACAATCATGTCAGATATCTTAAGCCCTCTTTCTGACTCTCCATATATTTTTCAGTTGATTCCTGCACCTTTTCTATAAATGTCTTTTATGTTAATGGTACCTGGACTTTATGAATTTAAGTGCATTATTAGATTGGCAGCAAGGTACCATCATTTTTACAGTTAGATGTAATCAGGAGTTCTAAGTTAGTTTCTTTTACTGCACTTCTTGCTTCTGGAACTCTTCTGGCTTATTGCTTAACTGTTTGATCATAAAAAAATTTAAATGCAGTGTCAATTGTAATCTTCTGTCCCAGGACAGATTACAATGGCTTAAACAATAAGTCAGAGTTCCACAAACAAGTGCAAAAACTATCATTCATTTATTTTTCTCCCTCCTTAAGTCCTCCTTCCCATATTATCTTGTGTGCATTAACTGCTTGACTTAGTGACTTTATTGTCCTGCTTGGTGAAATGATTAAAAAAAAAAAAAAGTATCTGCATATAGAATGAACACAAACATTTTAAATTGCTGTCTTTGTGATACATAATATCATATACTGAAGATGTGAAGAAATTTTGGTGGGGAATTGACTTTAGAGGTTGAAAGTCCAAACTTGACTAAATTATCATTGAAATATTTGTGCCATTAGGATTCCTCAAGATGTACTAGTTATTTGTATAATAATAATAAAAAAGCAATTTGTGCAGAGAAGTTAAGGACTAAATAAATGAATCACGTTGAGTAGGCAAGACAGTTCTTGCAATTATGCAGAAACTATGCTAATCAAATGATAGCTCTTGCCTGGTTCCATAGAGAAAATGTTATAGAAAACCTAAAACTATTCTCTGATCTTCAGAATAGACCTCACTGAGGAAGCATTCTGGTGTTCAATATATGCATGTAAAACTAAATTGGATTTTCATAATGTTACTCCCTTACTTTTCTCTCCAAATTTGAGAGAAAAACTTTGCACACTGTATAAGTGGGTCGATGATAGGTGAACAAAGCTAAAACAAGTACTGATGAAATGAAATCGGAGCACAGCAACATGAATCTATTGATTCAAGATAGTATTTATACTTATGAATCTGGAGACATGGAAATTAATTAATGGCCAAATATAACTTTACCAATAGCTTAATTTTGTAGCTTTTCTAAAATTACTTAATGCATTCTGCAGTCTAGAATAACCAGTCCTACTGTTGTGATGAAGAATCTAACCATTAGTTTTAACTGAGCACTTTCTGTGAAAGTATTTTCTTTCTAAATGTCATCAGTGTTAGATAAGGACTGCTATGGTTTTGTATGTTACTTGATATATGTTGATGAATAAAAGACACATGTCCACATTGTGATGGCCATATAAATGTATCTAAAAACTTGTGTGGCATTTGATGTTTATAGAGCCTGCTGCTTTTAGGCTTTTACTAAAATCAAATAAATCCAACCTTTCAGAATAATTTAGTATTTAAAAATTTTCTGCTTTTATATTTTCAATACACTTTCATGATTTGATTTTTGTAAATAATTGGTAACAGATCAACACTAATATAAACAATAAATCTGATTAAACTCTTTAATTGGCTTTTGCCTTGCTTGTAATGAAGGCAAATGTTACCAACATTGACCTACTTTCAGTTGAATAACATCAATCATTGATTTTCTTTTTAGATGGTTCTTAGGACTTTGCTAACAATCGAATTTTAAATTTAGTTGACTGTAAAATATTAAGTCAATTTAAAAAAAAAAAATTACCACATCTTGAATCTTAAGTAAACTGTATTTGAAAGTTAAAGCTTGCCATTGGATGACTGGTGCTAAGTTTTCTCTTCATTCTGAAAAAATGATGACCAGACATGTTTGTCAGTAAGCTCTATTCTTTTGGCTTGCTTTGTTCAATAACTTAGTTTGGTTGTTCAGTTTCTGTTTAGAAACTAAAACAAATGCAGTTCTATTTTCAAAGTATCAATAAGCAGTTCAGTTTAACAATTTATAGATACAGATTCTTGAATTGTTGTTTGTAATAAGTATTGTTCTTTTAAAGTTGATTTTTAATCTTCACAGCTTTGAGTCTGGTTTGACTGAAATAATTATTTTATATTGCTTTACTCTAGATTCATAGTTATGATAAACTTTCAAAATTATGATCCTATTGCCATCTGCAATAAAACCACTGTATTGGCAGTGAAAACATTGATACATACACCCTGTAATCTTATAGATGGAGAGGATGCATGCATTAGTTTTGGGTTGAATTTTAAACTAGGTTTTGATGAATTGATTGCTCCTACTTGGTTCTCTTAGGACTGCTCTTGGGTACCCTAATATGGGGGGAGGTGTCAATTGTCTATATGCAATACAATGGAAAATTTTAACAATTAAGTTAAAAACTTAAACCAACTACATTAGTCTCCTGTTTGAGTTCAAGGATGGGGAGAAGGAATGGCGGCCTGAATAAGTTCAAGGGTGGTGTCGAACGTTCTTTAAATAAATGATAAAAAAAATGAAACTATTAGTACCTTGGATTAACTAAAAAGTTAGGTCAGGCTTATAAAAATACCATTATTTATCCTGAGCAATGCTTTATATATATATATATATATATATATATATATATATATATATATATATATATATATATATTTATTATAATACCCTTCAAAAGCCCAAGGTTTTCTCTTGTTATTAGCTTTTACATATATTGTTTGCCCCACCACCAAAAAAAAAAAAAAAACTAAACTTTACATTCATTGTATCCTGCATAGCTAATTTCTGTTAATCTTTGGGTCAAAAAATGTAAACAACAATCCTTCTTTTACCTATTAAAAATAGTACTTTTTAATATTTATTTAATGCTACATTCAATCATAGTTAAGCCATGTTTCTCTGAATTCAGGTAATGAAGCTTTCGTAACCCTTGCTACAAATGATACCTATGTGGTAGGTAGCTTGGTGTTGGGAGAGTCCCTCCGAAGAGTTGGTACTCAGAAAAAACTAGTGGTAATGATAACCAAAGAGGTATCAGAAGCTTTCAGGTAAGTTGCCATCTTCAATATTTTATTTTAATTCAATTCAGATTCCAACCAATGGATAAAAATTGGACAATGGCTTCTGGAAAATATTTGAGCTTAAGTTGTATTTATTTGTAGAAACAACCTCCAAAATGTGTTCGATGATGTCCATGTTGTTGACCTGCTGTCCAGTGAAGATTTCAAGAATCTTCAACTCCTTGGCCGCCCAGATTTGCATGTAACTTTCACAAAGTTACATTGTTGGAACTTGACACAGTATTCAAAGTGTGTGTTCTTGGATGCAGATACTTTGGTAAATTGGTTTTTATTTCTCTACAAATGATGGTCAATTTGGAAGCTAATATTTTTAGCCTTCTGAGTAGTAAGAGTTTGTTCATTTCAAGAGTGTTCCTTAATCCATTATTCCTATCAATTTCTTTTATAATTTTTGTATAAACCTGGCAGTCTAAATTAATTCTTACTATTATCAATATATCCCAGTTTAAATGTAAATCTTAAGTTTTAGCATTTGTGGCTTTTACTTTTTGAATTTTCAATTGGGGTAAAGGTCCTAGTTTATAAAACTAGAATTTATAAGTTTGTAGAAACTAAAATGTTGAGGTTTTCAATTTCCTAAAGGAAACTGATGTACAGCATTGAATCCCTCTCAATTTGTCAGTAAAAGTAAGCTATTTAGTGAACTTAAAAATCTCTTGGTGGCTATTAAGTCCTTTCCAATACTCATGTAGTTGTTTGAAGCTATTTCTGATCTTTCTATTAGTTATTCATTGGTTAATAGCTTGGATAGAAATATTACTTCACTTTTTGCAAATTAACTTCTATTATGGCTTGACTAAAAAAAAAAAAAAAAACTACTGAATAAAATGTCTTAACAGTATAAATAATGCAGAATGTCAAAACTATCAATTTACCATTGAAAAATATCTATGCATTGAAAATTTCATTTGCCTAGTATTGTCAGTTAGGTAATTAAACAAAATTGCTCAAATCATTTTGTCATTTAGGAACATTTGCAGCTGATATAATTACTTGATAACTCCCTGAACTTTAAGTTGAATTTTTGCTGAATAATGTGAAATTTTAATTGATTAATGCTTTTTTAAAAAAACGAACCTTTTTCTTTAAAGGTTCTTCAAAATGTAGATGAATTGTTTGAAAAGGAAGAATTGTCAGCAGCACCTGATCCTGGTTGGCCTGATTGCTTCAACTCTGGAGTCTTTGTGTACACACCAAATGTAGAAACTTATAAATCTTTGATGAGGTTTGCATCAACCCAAGGCACTTTTGATGGTAATATCTACAAATCTTTTCTTTTAATCTTAGTTTGGGGGATAACTAGAAACTTAATTTTAAGTCATTTGGTAAACTTTTTTTTTTTTTTTCTTTTAAGCTTAATGTTTGCATTCAGCTGTCTTAACTGTGAGTAGGTAATGTGAAAAATCTAAGACTGTTATTCAGTGGAAAAAGGATTGCAATTTGTAACTATTAATCCATTTTTTTTTTTTTTTTTTTTTTTTTTCTCAAACTCTAGGTGGTGATCAAGGCCTGTTGAATCTTTATTTCAATGAATGGCCAACAAAAGACATAAAGAAACACTTGCCATTCATTTACAATGTTGTGTCTCAGGCATTTTATAGTTATCTACCAGCATTCAGACAGTAAGTGTTTGTTGTTTTTTTTTTTTTTTTTTTTTTTTTTTTTTAACTTTTCCTTCCACTTGTCTGTCCCAAGCTGACCTCTACAATAAAACCTGTGCATTAATAGCTCTTAAGTGATTTCCTTCCTCCTTATATAATATATATATATATGTCTAAATTATGCAAAAATGAAAATAGCACATCCCATTTTAAGATACATTTACCACAATTACACAAAAATGTCTTTAAATACTGAAGAGTAAAAAAAAAAAAAAAATCCAATAAAATCACCATTGGCTTCAACCTCTGCCTCCAGATGACTTTGGAATTTCCTGCAACTCTTCTGGTTTTTCTCTTTAAATTAGTGAATGCTGCCATAACCCTTGCCTTCAGTTCATCTTTGGTATTACAAGGAGTTTTGTTGGTCTCTTGCTCAACTGCACCTTGCACATAAAGGTTTTGCAGTTTGGGGAGTTAGGTGGCCAGACGTAAGGGCTGATGTGGTCACAGAAATTGTTTGACAGTCATGACAGGTTTCTTGTGTGGCATAGTGCAGAGTCCTGTTGCCAGACATAGGGTCTTTCAGCAGCTGCCCACTTGACCCAAGGCAGCACTACCTCCTCAAGGCACTTGATGTAGGTCTCCATGTTGAGTCCGAGGCCCTCACTAACAAATTTGGGAGTTCTTTTCTTATCGGAGCAATCAATGAGTTTTCTGAGCTGCCATACCTTCATAAATCACCCTTTTAGACTCCTCCAATGCTTTCTGAATAATCTTAACTGTCCTCAGATTGACACCCAAACATTCTCCAATGTTCATATTGGATGTTCCAGAGCAAATACCAAGCAATACAGCATGTCATTTCTAATTTCTGGCAAAATGAATTGCATCATGGCGCATTTTTTTTTTTTTTTTTTTTCTCAAATTAGAAACTTGTGTGTATGCACACACCTCTCTTAAGCAGTTAATTATTATCAACTGTTTATTTCAGTCACATTCTACTTGAGAATTACAATTACTAGTCTCTTTGATATATTCTAAGAAATTTACTGATGTAATGTTCTGATGGCACAGTAATGGATTGCATCTTGGATATAGGAATCTGAGAGCCAAATTAATTTCTGTTGAGTTTGTGACATTCACTTACATGCTAATACCTTTGTGGCAGGGAGTATGACTCCATCTCTTCTCCTGCCTTCCCAACTATGGGTTATTAGGACACTAGGTTCTATAACCGTGGGTGGTAACCTGTCCTAGAATGTTTGCATTGACTCTATGATCCTGACCATGGTTGACTTCTTTTTAATATTCTGATCAGCTCTTTGTATAGCCCTTGACAAATTTTTTTTTTTTTTTTTTTTTTTTTTTAAATTGTTTGAAGTAAATCCACTCCATTTCTTCATAGTATGGAAATAAGTTAATTTGTAACATTACAAAGTTGTTAAAATTTAGAAATTGTCTAATCATTTTAATATGAAATTCTAAAAATTTGTCTAAAATGCTAGTTTTTGAAGAAATATTAAAAATGACATTCAGCAATATTACTTATTAAAGCATAATTTTATACCATGAATAACTGATAAGGGCTTAATAAACTTAGTCTAGCTATAGTTTCTGCAAAAATAGTCTTATGAAGTGCTCGGCACTGACTTTTGCAGTAGCTTAGTTTTCATGCTTGACAGTATATTTTTTTCTGATGAGACTAAAATCATTTGGCTATAATGCAGTTTTAGCTAATGTGATTGATTGCATAAGTTTGTTTTCTAACGTGTAATTATTTCTGGTTAAGTTCCAGATCTCATTTTACAAATTTTTCTCAATTCTTATCTAATTTTACTCAACTATTTTCTAGTACTTGAGAATATTCTTTGTGCCTTGTTTTCTAAAATGGTTGTCAGTTACTTTTTACTAATATTAATTGAATAACAAAGTTACTGATATTTTGTGATTAGCCTAGGCTTCATTCACATTGGTTCTTGATTCTTTAACAGATTCAAACAAAATGTAAAGATTGTGCACTTCATTGGTGCCATCAAACCATGGCAACATCCTTATAGCTCTTCTACAAGAACTGTAACTCCTTTGCCTCATTCTGGTCATGATGCTGAATTCCTTCAACGTTGGTGGGACATCTTCACCAGTAGTGTGCAACCAAAATTTGATCCATCAGCAGTAAGTTTGATTAGATGACTTTTAAATTTTTTTTCAATGGAAATGTATTTACTTCTGAATGCTAATAATAATCTAGATTTATAATGGAAATATAATAAATTAATTCCAAATATTCATATTTTCAAATTTCATATTTACATTTTCATAAAATATATCACAGCAAATAGCTCTTACATTAATATTAACTTTAGCAAGAGTTGATGCATTTAAAAATAAAATTCAGCTTGTCTAGAAAAACAATTACTCATTTTATGATTTTTTTTTTTTTTTTTTTTTTTTAAAAAAAGCATCTGGACTCTATGCCGGTAAGTTACTAGCTTAGATTTAACTTGCTTCCTGCTTATAAACTTTTTTTTTTTTTTTTTTTTCTCTCTCAAAACTGAATCCTGAAAGAATGAAATTAAAAATTCTAAATCCTATGCATGAACTATTAACGTGTTGTTTGCCTCCTACCCTTTCCCATTCCAAATACCCATGCAATGTAACTGTTAAATTCTGTCAATGCATGGTAACCACTTATATTTTAAAATCTTTACTCTTTCAGAAATTTTTTATCTCTTCTGTATAACTTGGCAAAATGCTTAAATTCAAATTTAAACTTTCATGTTACTCCTGAAATCATTTTCGTCTTTAAACTTAATTTCAAGCATTGAACTCAGCAAAGAATAGTTGAAGATTTGATAATTCATGAGGTGACTGAACATAGCAATTTATTTTAAATTTAGCTCCCTCAGTTATGTTAACCTTTTGGGGGTAGGGAATCATTACTATTTGTAAGTGAAGATTTACAAATGTTTTAACACTAAACTTTAATTTACTTTTTTAAATTACTTTGCTCAGCCTTTGGATTGTAAGGTAATTTTTTTAACTTCCTTAGTAATGTCTTATTCTTTTAATTGGGAAAGGTCCCCCCTTTTTTTTTTTTTTTTTTTTTTTTTTTTTTTTTTCTTGCGTGATAGTACTATTACTGCTTTCCAGATGCATGGATTTCAAGCTTTCTCCTAATTTTCTGAAGCTTCCACCTGTAGTCTATCAGTAGATGCTGGCCTTCCACCAATCTTGACACATTCTAGGCACACTTGTACAAAATGTTATCTTGTAACTATGAATATCTTTTCCAAAAGTTGCTGCTTATTTTTACCAATATCCTATGCTTGGCTGTTCTTAAGCTTTTGCTTTTGTGTGTGGTGTTCTTTCACTTTCTATTCCAGCCTATTTAAGCTATAAAACTTTATTTTTCATTAAATTTTCATTTAGTTTTAGGTAGGAAAGTATTTAAAATATTTTGGAAAGACATTTACATCCAATAATTTGCATGAAGTTTGATCAACAGGGCTTTGTATGCAGTGTTTTCCTCAATTCTTGGCAATATTATTGAGTAAATGTTTTTTGTTTTGTTGTTGTTTTTTTTAAATTCTCTTGTGCAAATGCTAGTTGATTTTGGATTAGAAATTTCAGGTGAAAATTAGGTTAATATTCAGTAAAATCAAAGCCTTGCTAACTTTATAATGCTTAAACTGAATCTTTAAATTTTTATTCGGTAACCTTTGTCAGTATTCAGTGGTCTTGTATATTCTTGCAAATATTGTTATTGATATAGTTCCACTTATTCCTTTTTCTTCTTTTTACTGCTTTCAAATTTATTTTGGATAACTAGTCCATACAGAATGAGCCAGTAACGGTAAGTTGTTCATTATGATCTTGTGGTAAAATATACATTCCACTCCTTAACTTCCACTCCAATATTTGTAATAAAATATAATCTGTATCTAAATGTTTACAATAGTCTTATTTTGAGTAAATTTCTCAGTTCTGCTGAAGAACTTTTAAATCTTTCAATAATTTTATCTTTATTTTCAGGAAGGACTTATTGGCCAGTTGGCTTCACTAGGCTTTGATCATGACGGCAACAGGGCTGCTATGGATGACTTTCAGAAACGTATGGCCTGGGAACATGGCAATATTGACTACATGGGCCAAGACAGTTTTGAAAATATTCAACGTAAACTTGATTCTAAAATGAATGTTTCTAAAGAGACCGCAGACTGACTTTGCCAAGTAACAACAGATCCAAATTTGCAAGAAAATGGTGTGGTCTGTCAGCAAATAAAGTAGATTCAACATCAAACTAGATTGCTGCTGCTCCTACTACTGCTCATGCTGAAACATTGCTGGATTTCTTCAGCATTTTTTTTTTTTTCTCCCCACTTTCCTGAACCCTCTGCCTTCCCTTTTCAGGGCTGTTAAATTTAGTCCAAGAGATTAACAACTCAAGTCATTTGACATTGAGCAGTTTGTGCCACTACACATTTGACAGGCATGCTCTTCAAACCTTTACTGCTAACAACCAGGAAAGGAAGAATAGTAACTTTTCTTATATGCTATTATTGAACATGTGAGACAATATATTTTTACATTTCAACTCTAAAACTTAGGCTGCTCTTGGTTCTTTTAAAAAATATCAGGATTTTTGTTGTGGAAAAGATTGTATAAATGAGTTTATGAAATCTGGTTAACATTAATTCATATATGTTAAAGTTGTATTCTCACACGCTCTCTTAAGTTTCTTTAATGCTATATTCAAAACTTGTATAATTCAAACTTAAAAGCTGAATAATGTAGGCATTTGTATGTGCTGTAGATTGAGGCCATGCAACTTGCTTCTACTCTCAATTATCTACCTCAGCCTGTTTTAAATTAAATTTCATTTGGCCTGATCAGGCTACTTAAGTTTAAAACTTTCTTCAAATGTGCTAATGTTACACACTTCCTTACATCCTTAACTGCATATAAAGTCCTTCCAAATGACTTGTGCTAATACATGTTTCTGCTGATTAGATTTTGTTTTTCTTCTGTTGTGAAACTAAGCTTATGAATCAATTTTGAAGAGATCATCTTATGAATCTTGGATTATTTTGGCAGCTGTTTCTCATTTCTAAAATTGTGCAGTGCCTCCATTACTTTTCCTCTCTCCCATTCTTCCTTCTAATCTGTGGCCATTGGATTTTCTCCCTGATTTAGGGTTCAAAACTTTGGTCCATTTCCTGAAATATTGAGAAAACCTGTCTAACCAACAGCACTTGCATTCAACTCAAAATATACATGCAGTCTAAAAGAAAAAGAAAAAAAGCCAGTAACTAGATAATAGTTACATTATCAGCAACAGAAATTGCTAGTTGCTACTATTGTTACTGTGGTCATCTGCATTACAACAGGCATTAACTCACTCTGCTGTTGTCATCTAGTCAAGAGACTAGATCTCTACCACCCCCATACTGTAAATTCTTGACAAAATGATGCTGTTATAATGTAGGTTTATTCATGAAATAAAGACAAATTGAATTTATTTTTACTTATTCTAATTTAGCCTCTTTAACATCTCCCATCTCTATATAGTGTTGATGACTTGAAAATTTTTTTAATTTTCTCATGCATATTAACTATACTATAAAATTCTTTGCATTGAGCCAATAAAGTGTATATTGGCTACATGTCATTTTTGACAAGACTGAATTGAAGTGGAAATGACATTTAGACTTTTAATCAATTTAACAAATTAAGTGAAATATTTGCTTTTTAATCTGGTTATGTTAGAAGCATAACACCTGTTCCAAATTCTAAATTTTATTCAATCTTGTTACAACAGTAAACTTAACATTTCTAATTATCAAAGTGGAATGGTGTTGTTGCAAGTTCATTAAATCTGTTTGCAAATAGGTAAACTAGTCTCTCTCCACTTGGTGAAATGACTTGCCAGTTCATTCTAAAGTCTTTTTTTTTTTTTTTTTTAAGACAAACTATACCTATTACTACATAATTTTACAATTTTATATTTGGCCAAATTAATATTGATGTTGCCACCTAATTTTTTTCTTTCCAAATTAAATCTTAACTACTTTTTAAACTCTTCTACTTGTACAAGATGATTGAAACTTTGTTGATTGAACTTGCAGTTTACCAGGTTGTTACCATGAAGAAAATATGGAAGTTGGTTTGTAGGGGGATTCTGCCTAGATTTTTTTTTCAAAATTCAGGTTTGTCTATCAAAGCGGAAAAGAGTTGCTCAAGTTTGACTCTCTTCAAAGATGTTATCACTTTGCCAGCAGCTGCATGTAGTTGCTCTTCATGGAAATATAACTAATTTTTCTTGCCAATAGTACTGGATCACCACTCCCCTATCACAGTAGGTCTTGACAATCTCCCTTCATTTCTGGAAGCATTTAAACTTTAAATAATCCCCATCCTCCTCTAAATAAGAATCTTCACCAATTCTAAAATACTTAAAAACGAGCAACTTAGCTACTAAAACGTTTTATATCTAGATTTTTCCTATTTGAATTTTTGTACAGTACTTGTGTGGCTAGAAAAGTCTTAACTGAAAAAGCCTGTGACTTGACTTGTGATCAATTAGTCAACGGCCTTCCAGTTAGCTGTTATATAACTAATTACTTTGTTTAAATACAAATTGGGTTTATTTTTAGTACTGATCATGCAATGGTGTTGATGTAATTTACTTTAAATTGAGTTTTAGGAACTAAAAATTAAACTTTGTCTTGAAAATGAATCTGTGCTATAAAGCAATTAACTACCAAATATTTATACATGTATAAAACTAATACACAACAGAAAGTTTAAATTGTCTGTCTAGTCAACTGATTTTGAAAAATTGATTTACATGGCTCTGCTGTCCACTTTATACTCCAAGAAATAATTTGCAAATTCAAATTGTATTTTTCTAAAGCTGACTTAGAATATTTTAAATTAGATAACCAAAGCTTTCTTGTGACTAAAAAAAAAAAAAAAAAGTTTAAATCTGCATACAATTTATGTATTTTAACTACTGGGCGCTATATATATATATATATATATATATATATATATATATAATAAAAAGGCTTAAACACTAATATTGGAATCAAGAGCTTTATTTTTATACATAAACAATTTTTGCTAACATTTTCCAGACATGAAGTGGATTGATTATATTAAATCAATTGTTAGACCAACTGCTAGGAAAATTGGTTCATTGTGTTGTGTTACTCAATTTTTCTAACTGAGTATAAAGATGCTAAGTTCTTAATCCCAATACATATAGCCCATTAAAGTACTATGTAAATTATTTGTGTGCAGATTTAAACTTTTTGCTTTGGGAGGGGTACACTTTCCTTATCTATCACCCACAGTATTTTCAGTAACATTTAAAGCTTTGGTTATCTGACTTAAAATTTTCTAAGTCAGATTTATAAAAATACAATTTACAGATTATATAATCACTTTCTTACTGATGTGGCTTCTCCCATCTTTTCTACAGATATTTTAGAGGCAATTATTCTGAGTTTTCCTCTTTGGCACCTCCACTGCAGGAATTTAAGCATACTTACTGCTAGATTGGCAACTAGGTCTTAGGTTGTACTAGCTACATGCCACCATGTTCTATTCTAATAGTTTTTATTGTCTGTTGGACTCCCTTCCAATTTCTTGCTTCCCTGCCACCTCCAACTGTCCAAAATTGTAAAGACAGTTGCCATCTGGCCTTCCTGTTTTTTTTGTTTTTTTTTTCCTCACTGATGTTTTCACATTCTCTCTACTCCCACTACACTCCATCCTGTCCTTGTGGTATTATCACCTTGCATGGGGTGAAATAATAAATCTATTCAGAATTACTCCTTAAAACTTTTAATTCATTTAAATAAACAAACAACTCTACTCGTTTTTGGAAACCAGTTTTAATTCAGTTTAAATTTGGAGCCCATTTAACGATGAATGCTAACAATCATTGGCTGGTTGCTTACTTCATTTTTCAGTCTTTCTTCTATATTATAGAATTCTTTTGGTTTTGCTTGAACTCAAGATATTTTCTTTTTCTGTGCTCCAATGGGACGTGAAAACCTTGCCTTCAGCAAGGCATCACTTATCCAATGAGGCAGAACTTTTACAGGCCAAAAGAAAAAGTTTGCATCATAGCCAATCAGATAACGAGTCTTCGGAAATTTAGCAGTGATGGCATGAACATGAGCATTAATAACATTTTGCAGTCTGGAACTAGTAAACAAATTCATTAATTTGACTGTTGACCAAATATCTGGAAAAAAGGAAATGGTAGATTAAGATATTTAATAAACAGTAATAACTGTCAAAGGTAACATTAAAATCACTTACTGATAAAGGTTCAGATTAGAACAATTGCTCCCTACAACAGCAATTCTGATCCTAACAATACATCAGTGTAGATTACTTTGTACAAGACTCCATTACCCTTTCTGAGAGGAAGCTACTGCAAGTCGTATACATATACACACAGAGAATATTTTAAGACTTATATAATGGTCTCAGTCCTTCATGAAATGAACAAGTTCTTGGTAACGTGTCTAACTTTTTGGAATGTAACACTTGAGATTGTACCAAATATCCTGATTGATGACCTAAGGAAGATATTGACAATCTCTTTCAATGAGTCTATAAGCAGGAAGACATTAAGAACTCCGCCATTGTAGTAACTATCTGGCTGACTGATTTCTTGTATGTAAAATTGTTGGCCATGTGAATACAATAAAGTAAGCACAGTCTTATTACTGTTTGAAGAACTTGCAGAAACTCTGAATAAAACAATTGACATACATAGTTGTTTTAACTTGCTCTGTAAGCCAAGCTTAAAATTAAATATGGGACTTTATCAGGAAAGTTACTTGCCTAACAAAAAAATAAAAAATTTACTAAGGCTTAAAATATTTTTAAAAATAAATCTTGAAGCTTTTATCTTAATTTTAAGCTAATAGATTAAGTTTATGAGTTTTTCCAATGAGCAAAATACTTTGCTTTATTTCAAAAACTAATATTAAAATATTGCAGAAATGCATTTTTTTTTTTTTTTTTTTTTTAAGTCACCATGGTTGACATGTTCTATGAAGTTAAATTTTTTTTTTTTTTACTATTTAGGAAAATATTCTCTAATTTAATGTTTTATTGAATTTTAGAATTTTTGGCTTTAAATTTACTATAGTCATCACTCATATTCTGGTAATGTCATGAATGGATGACTAATACTTACAAAAAAACAACTTTTTATACTAATAAAACAAATCCAAAATTTAAAAAATATTGGTTGATTTTCCATTTGATATCAACTGAAATTAACAGAATTTTAAGATTTAAAACTTATATTTATTTTTATAGACAAGTGTCCTTAACATCTTATTTTTAAAAGCTTTTCTAATTAAATGTCTGTTTTGCATTCGGAGCAGATTTTTGGTAAATGCTGTTTCAATTTGATAAAAACAAATTGATTTAAATTCTCCAGAGTCCTGCTTTTAAGTAATATAAATTTCTCCATTTCACCATATTAAGTGGGGTTTAATAGATTAAAAAAAAAAAAAATTCATTTGTAAATAAGTCCTTTAAATTTCATTAAAATGCAACAATTAGTTTAAGAATTTTCTATACAATGTGTCCTTTACTACCAAAAATGCTACATGGTCCACCCAATAACACACACAAAAAAAAATTTAAAACATTAAAATAATTACTCTGGTCTTTTCCCTACCCCCCCAACCTCTCTTAACATGTTTCAAAAGCATCTGTTACATCTTGCAGAAAGTGCAAAACAGGAATAGTATCTCAGAACTTGGGCTCTTTTTGGATAATCATACATTTTTCATTCTTACAGTTAGTCTTTTCTTCAAGCTTTCTTTTACTACTTTGTTTAAAACTTCCTACTGCACCTTTACACAAGTGATGCAGTGTTATTTTATATTAACCCTGGTATGTTTTTTAGTCTTCTTAGAATTATTGCTCTGTACAGGTTTAGTAAATCTGATTAGAAAACCTTGTCATATTCTTTCTGATTTCTTGTGTATTCAAGAAAGTTCTATCTGTATGCAAACATTGTTCTCAGTAGATCTTAAAGATTATTCCATTGGTAAATCAAGCACTCCCCCATACACACCTATATTCTAAGTAGCTCTTTCTATAAACAACACCACATTAGTATTTTATTTGTGCATATTAAAATCAATGAAAAACATTGATAGCAACAAAAAACAAATTTGAGTACATGACA